GAATGATTTGTCTTACGTGAAGCATTTGTTCAGACTCCTGCCTAGTTTTTCTTCTTCTCAGCTGTGTTATAGTCTGAATAAATAATGCACGCAAAACTTTGTTCTCCATGCAACATGCCAGCCAGCCAGGAGAAAGCTCCTGCGGGGATGTATTGACTAAGGATGCATCATCCACGATTATCCAGAAAGAATTATTGGCTGAGGTGGCTATTGATTTTCTAATAATTTTAGCCCTCCCCCAGACTCATGTCACCAGAGAGGCAGATCACAAATTGAACTGCAGCTGAATTGCTGCAGGATTGATTAAAACTCACAGTAATTATTGCCTCTCTACTGCTCAAGGCAGACTGATCAATGTGAGCTATAACTGATAGGGTTCTTCAAGCAATCTCAGGAAATAGGCATGAGTATCATTTGCTTTGCACCCACAGAAGAGCAGGTATGTGGGAACAGTCAATGCTGGGCATTAAATGCTCCCTCAGAAAATGTAATTGATGTCAGAGCTAGAATATAATTCAACCAAGTATGTTTCCCCCCTTCTTTTTCTTGGTCCAGATTGTTCAGGATGAAGGCCAAAAAGTGACCAAGAAACTTTTTACAAACCATGGGAATGTCTGTTGAGTAATCAAAGGTCCATTATCTACAGACTGCATGTTCTAACTGAGTTGCCAGTGAGTTTGCAGCCCATGCATGGCCACTGGAAAATGAGGGGATAGCCAGCTTGTGTCAGGGAACCCTGGTTTGCAGAAGTACAAAAGGCAGCAGTGTAGGAGGCAGGTGGGAAGGAACAGGCAAAAACAGCAGTGGTCCAGTGAGGGCTGGACATGCCAAGTAGCCACAAACACTACACTGCAGCATTTGGTTGTGGCACCTGCTTGTGAATTGCCTAATGAAGACAAAGGAAACAAAGCCAAGATCTAGCTCCTCAGTTTAAGGAAGAGCCTAATAGTGGTAAGTTAGTGGAGGAGTGGGCACAAATAGTTCAACATGGTGCAAGTAAAGGCTCTGTGGTGCTTCCCTGCTTTCTTGGAAGAGCTGCTAATTGGTTGTGTCACATAGGAAGGGAGCACTTGGCAGTCTGTCCCAGTCTCTCTCAGCCTGTGCACAGTTATAGGATGTCTTCTGCTGACTTGTTCAACTTCACAGTCTGCTGTTTGGCAGAATCCCCGAAGCTTCTTGGCGCATGTGGCCCCTAGAGCTGAGATGATTAACAGCTTGCAATTAAAAGAACGAGCATTTAGAAGTACGAAATAGTTTGCAGATATTAAATTAATCATGATGATACAGGTTTATTTAACCAATAAATATATTACTGCGGGCCCTGAATTGCTGCCAGGAGTTTTTCCACCACCCAACTCTTATGCTCTTTCTCTCTCCGTCTCTCAGAATCTCAGAGGGGAGATGTAGATGTCCCATGAAGGGGTCAGTGGCAGGGGAGTATAAGACAAACTGATCTGTGCAAACTCATATTTCCATTAATCAAGTCAGAAGAACAGGCCCTCTTTCCTCAGAACTGGCCCACACTGAGAGCCAGTGTGATGCAGTGGTTAAGAGCGCTGGACTCGTAATCTGGTGAACTGGGTTCGCTTCCCCGCTCCTCCACATGCAGCTGCTGGGTGACCTTGGGCTAGTCACACTTCTCTGAAGTCTCTCAGCCCCACTCACCTCACAGAGTGTTTGTTGTGGGGAAGGAAGGGAAAGGATAATGTTAGCTACTTTGAGACTCCTTCGGGTAGTGATAAAGCGGGATATCAAATCCAAACTCCAAACTCCTCATCCAGTACACTTCATTCATCCCGTACACCTACTGTTTGACCCATCTATCAAGCTTTCAGGAGTCTCACTGCTCCTCATAACAACCCTTCAAGGCAAGCTAAGGTGGAGCATCTAGGTCTTACCACCTTCCTGAAACAAAAGAGCCTAAAACTCAGGAAGGTGGTTCTTCCCTGTTGAGGATGAGAGACTGCAAGATGCCCGTAACTATTCAGTAAGCTTCATATCTGAATGTGCGCACACACGCACACACACACACTCCAATATGAATACAGACAGACACAGACACATCATTTTATTTGTACGTTGCCTTTCCATAGCCAAAACCATGCTCAAGGTGTCCTACAACTTGAAAAAAAATACATAATACAAACCTTAAAAGTAGTCATAAACAATAAACGAAACATCAAAAAGGTGCAAAACCAAATTGAACAATTTCCACATAAATCATTATAAGATCCAAAACAAAAATTCAAAAAATAATAACTGCAACAAGCCCCCCAACCCCCCTAAACAATACCGCCGCCCAGTAGTTTGTTCAACACCTCTTGCAGCTCTTGCAGCTGGAGTCAGTCAGGGCCCCTCCCTTCTAGGCCAGGTGGAAAATGGCCAGCAAGGCAGGAAGCAGGTCTTCCAGGACTCTCAGCTAAGATGCTTTTCAATATGCATGATATTAATTCTCTCTTACACACAGGCACAAACTGGTGGTGTCTCAGCTCACTTGTAGAATGTAACATCATTGATAAGCCTAGTGTAGTTCATGTTTTATTCAATACATTCAGGAAAGGAAGATTAAGAAATTCTCAGAAACAGGTGCTTTTGAAAGGCAGGGAAGCAAACTGCTGGCTTGTGTTGCATTTCTAAATTTTGGCTGCTTTATTAACTGTTCCCAATAAAATACACTCAGACTTGTTCTGTAATTTTTAAATCAATTACTCAAATTATAAATACTGTCCGTTTTCCCTTTTGTGCATAATGTCTGCTATTTCTGTTTAATATAAACAAATAAATAAGGGCTAGAAAACATAATAATACTCATTGATTTAAAACATCTTTACAGTGGTACCTCAGGTTATGAACTTAATTCGTTCCAGAGGTCCATTCTTAACCCGAAACCGTTCTTAACCTGAGGTGCGCTTTTGCTAATGGGGCCTCCCGCTGTTGCTGCGCCGCCACCACATGATTTTTGTTCTCATTCTGGGGCAAAGTTCTGAACCCGAGGTACTACTTCCGGGTTTGGGGAGTTTGTAACCCAAAGTGTTTGTAACCCGAATCGTTTGTAACCCGAGGTACCACTGTACTTGATAAAAAGTTGTCTTTACACATATACATACACTTTCACCTTTCAGATGTCAGACTACAACTCCCATCACCATCCCTGACCACTAGCTGCACTGGCTATGACTGATGGGAGTTGGAGGCCAGCAACATCTGGAGAGCCACAGGCTCACCTCTCCTGGACTAAAGGTCACCTGCCATTCAGTAGACAACACTGGGGAAGATGGATCATAGCTAAGGTATTGAGAGTGGCAAGCCAATGTGGTTTAGAGTGTCAGACTAGGACTTGGGAGTCCAGGGTTCAAATCCAGGGTCCAGGATCATGAAGCTCACTGGGTGGCCTTGGGCCAGTCACTACCTCTGAGCCTAGCCTGCCTCACAGGATTCTGGTGAGGATAAGTTGAGGAGTGGGAAAACCACATATACCACCTTGAACAGAGAAAAAAGTGGGATGTAAATGTACCAAATAAATGTTAATTTATTTTTAGCAAGAAGGGTACATGCCTGGGACCTTGAAGAGTTCCTGTCAGCCAGGGAAGCAAGTGGAGGGCAGATGGACCAATGAGCTGGAGATCCTTAGGTCTGGGGCTTCTAAAACATGGCGGCCAGTCCTTTAGCAGCACCACCAATGGGCATCCAAAGAAGAAGTTGTCCAGGCAGCAGATTAGAGATGGGATCTTCTGTGTCTGTCCTCCCCAAATGTTACGGGTGGGGGACCTTTTTCAGCCTGAGGGGCTACATTCCCTTCTGGGCATCCTGCCACAGGCCACAGGCCAGTGGCAGGTGAAGCCAGAGGCAAAAATGAGTGGTGCAACAAACATAATTTTAACATTTGTATAATAGGATAGTTTCGACATGCAGTTGCACGCCTCTCTCTGACCTGCATCCAAGCACTCAAGTGGTATTATCAGAGTTCAGGGACACATTCCAGCTAGGCAAAAACACTTGGGGCACCATGCAGAATCAATGCAGGGTGTTGCTTGTAGAGAGAGGGGGCGTGGCCTGGGGAGAGTTCTGAGGGCCAGGTGGAAAGGCCTGGAGGGCTGCATTTGGCCCCTGGGCTCAAGGTTCCCTTCATATAGGGCAGGGGTGGCCAACTCCCAAGAGACTGCAATCTACTCACAGAGTTAAAAACTGGCAGTGATCTACCCCCTTTTGGGGGGTTCAGGACAAAATTGTTGAGCTTCTTTGGGGGGAGCCGGTGATCTACCACAGACGTACAGTGATCTACCAGTAGATCACAATCTACCTGTTGGACATGCTTGATATAGGGGGTTGTGGTCACAGAGAAGTATTTTTAGGAACATAGGAAACTCTTGTCAAACTGAGTCAAATCTTTGATCCATCTAGCTCAGAATCATGTACACGGACTGGCAGAGGCTTAGGGTTTCAGGCACGAACTCTTCCCCAGCTCTGCCTGAAGTTGCCAGGGATTAAACCTGCAAGATGGATGCTCTGTCACTGAACTGCAGCCCTTCCCAATTTGTTTTCCTTTATTTTCTTCCTTGAAAAAAGCAACACAGAAAATGTAGCAGTTTTATGACTTTTCCTTCACTTGACAGGCAGTTTATAGCCAACCATCATGCATCTCTGGACTGGCTGTTGTTTAGCTCATCTTCAGGAATTCTGTAATGCATCCTTAATTTGGAACTGCTATTAGGCTACATTTATTATCTTTCTCTTGCTCTCCAGATAACTGGTCAGCTTTCTGCTTTTAACTTATTATTATTTCTCTCTCAGTTGAAAGAAAATTCAGGTGGAATAGGAGTGTTGCTTAATAAGGATGTCTATGGATTGATGTTGCTGGGTAGTTGTCTGCTTTAATTATTTGGGACAGGCAGAGCTTGCTGCAAAACAGAAATTTAAAATGTGGGTCACATTTTCAGCACGATGATAGTAGTTTAGAATCTCTAATAATAGACAAGAGACCAGGTACCCAGCTGAATTAATGTGTGTGTGTGTGTGTGTGTGTGTGTGTGTGTGTGTGTATGTATGCGCGCGCACACGTGCATGCACACACACACACACTTGCCTACTCCTTGCTATTTTCAACAGAAATACTCAAGAGGATATGGGGGATATGTGGCCCTCCAGATCCTTTTGTGAGATATGGAAGAACCCCTCTCTCTGCCTGAGAAGAAGAAGAGGAAGAAGAAGAAGAAGAAGAAGAAGAAGAAGAAGAAGAAGAAGAAGAAGAGTTGTTGTCTGGATTTGATATCCTGCTTTATCACTACCCTAAGGAGTCTCAAAGCAGCTAACAATCTCCTTTCCCCTCCTCACCCACAACAGAGAGAGGAAGATGACTCATAGGCTGGATCTAGACACATCAAAGAAGCTTTCAGTTAAACCAGGCATGGCCAAACTTGGCCCTCCAGCTGTTTTGGAACTACAACTCCCATCATCCCTAGCTAACAGGACCAGTGGTCAGGGATGATGAGAATTGTAGTCCCAAAGCAGCTGGAAAGCCAAGTTTGGCCATGCCTGAGTTAAACATAGTGTAAATTTAAACAGGGAAATCCAGTAGGGAAAACAGGACTCCATAGCTCCATCTGCTGACGCAGTGTTATATTGCATATACAACACATAAAAATTGTTTTTTCTTTACCAATCTAGCTGAGCCCTTAGACTAGAGTAAGGATGGGGAACATGTGGTCCTCCAGATGCTGTTGGATTCCAACTCAATTCAGCCCCAGTCAGCCTGGCCAGTAGTCAGGGATGGTGATGGGAGTTGGGAATTCAGCAACATTGGGAGGACCACAGGTTTTCAATCCCCATGCTAAAGGATACTGACCCAGGTATAGCCCATTTCTATTGTTCTCAGCGTTTTTCCATCCTCCATGGGAGCAGTCACTGCTGAGTTGCATCTTCTCCTTTCAATATGACTTTCACATTGACCCCTGACAGGAAGTCTTTCTTAAATAGGTGTGTGCAATTAATAGTAGAAACTCAGGTAGAAAATAAATCTAGGAGAGAAGAGGTGTTCAAACTCATTTCTGTTACTTAGAATCCATTCCAGACAATCTATTTATTGAGCATTCACCCTGATTTGTTTGCAGGGAGGTTAGATAGTGTTGGCATTTTAGTGAGCATTTAACCTGATTTCTTTCTGAGGTGGTTGGACAATGTTGCATGAAGATAGTGTTATCTCCCACTTTCCAGTGCATTTTCTCATCACTGTCCTTGCTGCAAAAATGTTAGCTATTTTGGGGGAACAAGGTGTAACTGTACAACCTGAATTTGCCGGCATGTGATTGAATTCTGCTGTGGAATAATGACAATCTGTAAGCATTACATTAGAACTCATATTGGGTTCTAATGCACAGGTGAGTTACCCATTGACAACACTTTTTCATCTTAACCTCTTCCCTTCAGAGTACATCTCCTGGTAGTAGCAGCCCTCTTGCACAAGTGACTGTTGTTCTTCTAGTTTGTGCAGGCTTTTAAAGCATGAGTGCTATTGATGGACGATGCTTCACACAGACCTAAGCACCAGCTGTAAAGTATTGCTGTTCCTGGAAGTGATAGCATCATTTGGGGACCTAACCTTCCTTGCCTTCTGAAGGCGTAATACAAACACCTTGTGTTATACACCTTTCCTACAATAGTAGGCATCTCAGTGGTATAAAGGTGTCCAACTTGGAGAGAGTAATGCTCCCCTCTTCCTTAACTGTATCCTTCCCTTCTCAATGCAGTGCCCTGAGGATTTGAGGCCTATGAAGGATGGCACTGGTTGCTACGACTACTCCAAGGGAATTGACTGCTCAGATGGCTTCAATGGTGGCTGTGAGCAACTGTGTCTTCAGCAGACCCTCCCTCTCCCATCAGAACCCATGTCCAGCACCATCCACATGTTCTGCGGGTGAGTTCCATGGGCAAGAGGTGTTGGTGGGTACAAATTCAATGGACTGCAGTCTCAAAGCCTTCTGTATGCTTGCTTTTTGAACATTCCTGCCTGGCTAAGCAAATGTAATATGGAAGCTCAAGCCAACTCAAAACACTGTGCATTCAGCAGACAAAGTAAGGTAGTTGGTAGATGGACACCTTATGGGAAAATGCACCACTTCTGGAAGCTGCTACTGCTGTTGTCTGATGAACTTTGGGTATGTCACTTTAAAGGGAGGTCTGGAAGTGACTGTTAACATGACCGCTATCACCACCCACAAATTCTCAGTGTCATGCTGCCTTGTTCCATCTGGAGCCTGTCACTTTTGCACACCCCAGCCCTTTTATGCATTGTTGCTGTGAAGTCATGTTGGTGGAAGAGGGGTCAGCACAGCTGTCAGAGTTGGTTTGTGTTTAAAGATGTAGCTTGTCCCCTAGCTTTGCTGTGGGCTTTGGACTTGGACACCTTGCCTTGCCTCTGAGATAAAGGATGCAAGGAGCATCCAGAGGAGGGGGTTTCTCTCAGCTTTGGGTTGGTGGATTTCAGCTGGCCACATTCCCCAGAGCAGAGGGACATGGGGTGATCACTGCATCCCTCTTTCCCTCCAGTGCCAAATTCCCCACAGATTTTGCTTCTTTAGCTTGTGGCAGCAGCTGTTGCTGCCTCAATACCACTTTGACCTTCAAAGGAATGTTAGGTGTGGATTTGTGCTGTGGAGAAGCACATTCCGAAATGTAACTCCAAGGAACATCTGTCAATTCCTGACACATCCAGGTGCTCAGGCAGCCGAGATTTTGCTGTGTCCCAGCCCTTCATGGCTCCCTGGGGCTTTGAGTTCATCAACTAGCTTTTTCGTGCATGTGTCTATTGCTTTATTTCTCGGCACTGAAAAGTAAAGAGGAATGTGCATCCTGTGGGAAGGCTGATAGCTCCAGTGAAGCAGCCAGCCCATCAAAGTTTTGCTTTCAAATCCAGCAATGAAAAGATTGTAGACTGTTCTGATTCCGTGTGGATTGGCATGGGAGCAGAAGAATCGGCACACTTTCAATATTCCACCGCTCTAGAACTTGTGTCCCCTTATGGAAAGAAGAATGCAGTTTGAATCAATTAACTACTCAAACAGCTGACTAATATTTCTTCAGTTGAGACATAATTTGGAAGTGGGGTTAGAGAAGAGAATGCCAAATTATTAGGAGAAGTGTTTGATTCAAGGGATGGGGCAGATTGGGCTAAGCCTTTCCTCCCCGCTATCGCTTTGGTGAGGGTTCTTCTACAACAAGTGTGGCAAACTATTTGCCCTTCAGATATTGCTGGGCTGCAGCTCCCATCACCCCTGATCATTGCCATGGGAGTTGGAGTCTAATAATACCTGAAGGCTGACTGGTTGCTTGCTGTTTTTCTGTTAAGGAACACATTGTGAAATAAGCACACAACACCAGAGGGTTTAGTTGGGCTCCAGAACAGGGTTTTCCAAATGCAGTTCTTACCACCTCACAAGGAGCACCCCACAAAGAGCATTGGAGGTGCTAGTCCCCCCCCCCCATGGTGCTGAACCGAAACTAGACAGCTCATTTGCATGAAGATCTGCTCTGTGATGAACCTCCCACCCCACCACATGGTGGTATATGAAGAACAGGTGTACTCTTAGCAATCCCAGCAGCAGTTTCTGCAAGCTGACATTTCTTCAACAGTGCAGCACTGAGTTACCCCCGCCCCACTTCAGAGGAATTGTTTCTTTTGCAAAAGGGCTTTTGAAATTATTCTTAGGAACACATGAGGAAAGCCTTAAATCATGGCTGGGAATTCACATGACTTTTGTCCAAGAAACATTTATAGGCACATATCTAATATCAATTTTGTTTATTTTCCCCAAAACATCATAATGTAAAAATTTGTGCAGATTTTCGTTTTCTTCATAGTAGGAATATTTAACCCCAGTGTTAACCCATTAAACACTGTTCCAAGTACTTCAGATGCATTGTCTAGTTGTATTACTTAGAACAGCCCTGTAAAATAAATCAAGATTGTATAATTTCTCATATTAAAGATGGGGCAACTGAGGCTATGAAGTGTGGCTTGCCTAAGGCCACCTTGTGATTTCATGGCAGAAACAAGATTCAAACCAGGAACTTCATGATTCATAGTTCAGTCTCTTTGCTACAGCAACTCTTACTGTCTTTGTTACTGGTATTCAGTGACTGGTTTTTATTCCTGTAATGTTTGGTTTGGTTTTCTCTGGCTAGGTCCACTTTTACATGTGAGGTTTTTCTGCCCATTCTGTAACATGCTATGTGGTACACTTAACTTACTCAGGGATTTTCATATGACTTCCACTACGCAACTGTAAAATATCTGTCTGGTCCATATTGTTAAAGCAGACTTCATGTAAGCCTATTGCACCCTACGGAAGCTGCTATGGCTCCAGCATGCTGACAGGGGCCACCACTGATGCCTCTCAGGGGGGCAGCTTTACGTTCTCCGCATCCTCCCACGGTGCTCTACTCAGCTCCAAATTGCCCTAGTATAGTGTTGTCCCAGGGAAAATTAAAATGGCAGCTCCCAGCTCTCTGATGCTCATCTGAGCATTGCCACTGCTTTTGTCTTCTAAATAAGTGAACCAAAATAAGAGGGACCCACTAAAGTGCATTTTGCTGACAAACCCTCCCCACAATCTTCAAGCTAGTCCTGGTTTTAGCCAAGCCTTTGGTATATACTTTCCTCTCATTTTTAATCTCTTTCACACACAGAGTCCCTTGTGCTGTTCCTTATTTCGGTGCCTCACTTTGGTGCATCAGATTTAATATTTATGCCTCACCATTGTGCTGGCCCATTTCACCTACTCCTGCCACCCCCACCCCCCAAAAAAGAAATAACATGATAGATTTTATCTGGAACTGACTTTTGTTGTTTGCTGTTTGTGCATATCTGATGTATCTTTTTGTGTTTGGTTCTCAGCTGTGTTGAGGAATACAGGCTGGCACCAGATGGCAAATCATGTCTCATGCTGTCAGACATCTGTGAGGGCCCCAAGTGCCTTAAGCCAGATGTGAAGTTCAATGATACCCTCTTTGGAGAGATGCTGCATGGCTACAACAACAGGACCCAGCATGTCAACCAAGGGCAGGTCTTCCAGATGACCTTCAGGTAT